GGGATACTTCTAATGAATAGACTCTTGTGTATCAATAGGTAAGAATTCTTCCAGTTCTAAGCTTTCCTGATCTATTATCTAATAGTAGATACAGGATCTTCCCGGAAGACGTTACGCTCGTGTTTCTTTTCATAAAAGGAAACAGAGGTATTGCCTATTAATTCAGAACAAATTGGGTTCTTTCTATCTCCTTAAATAATTCTAATTAAATTCCTCTGGCTCTTCCTGCCTTGCTCACCTTCTAATGTCACCCCTAACCCTTGTATTTCTCACTTGCCATTCCTTCCTTTAGTGACGGAGACAAATCGTTCTTCTTCACCTGGCTCTACGTGACCTCTCCAGCAAAACTCTCACTGTTAGGTCCATTGCATCCTGTTTCAGAGGAATTCCTACCGCCGTATGCGGTAGGAATCCCTTTGGAATTGCCATAGTCCCATCGGCAATATCCTCACTCTCCTAGCCTTCCACCCTGGAAGGCTGTTTGCCTCTTCAGAAATTAAGCTCCAACACCAAAAATTAACCAGTTCCTCCTTCTTTCCGAATACCTCCTTATCTACCTTCCCTCCCATTCAGGGCCACATGGTCTTCATTCCAACACATGTCACCCCACACCTAGGTGATCGCAACCTGCCCAAACCTGAGCTGCTTTCTCAAATCATGAGTCAGTGCACAGAAATCTTCCCTGGTTCCCTTGGCCTTGCCGGGAAAATCCTGAGCCACAGAGTCTGGAGAGCCTTGGTTTGCGTCTCTGCTTACAGGATAGGTAGCTCACTGTACCTTACCGCCCTCTCCAACAGCTGTGTTCTGCCCCAGGCCTTTCCTCGGCTAATCCCTCCTCCTCACCTCCAAGCCTTTATGCTTCCAAAGATCAGAGACTACAGCATTTTCTCCTTGTGTGTCTCTTTCAGTATTAGCAAATACTTGTCACATGATCAGGGAATTCACCGAGTAAAGAATGAATTGTGTGTTGCCAGCGTGGCTCATTCAGATAAGTAAGTGTCCGACCCTTGGTTTCTGCTCAGATCGTGATCTCATGAGTCACGGGTTCAAGCCCCACGTCGGGCTCTGCGCTGACAGCGTGGAGCCTCCTTGGGAATCTCTCTCTCTCCCTCTCTCTCTGTCCCTTCCCTGCTCACTCTTTCTGTCTCTGTCTCTGTCTCTCTCTCTCTCTCAAAATCAATAAATAAACATTTAACGTTTTTATTTATTTTTGGGACAGAGAGAGACAGAGCATGAATGGGGGAGGGACGGAGAGAGAGGGAGACACAGAATCGGAAACAGGCTCCAGGCTCCGAGCCATCTCAGCCCAGAGCCCGACACGGGGCTCGAACTCCCGGACCACGGGATCGTGACCTGGCTGAAGTCGGCCGCTTAACCGACTGCGCCACCCAGGCGCCCCGATAAATAAACATTTAAAAAAATGAATTGGGCCAGAACGCAGGATTGTAGTGTATAATTTGTGGTGTTTGCTTCCTAGCCTGTATATAGTACTTGATATAGCTTAAAAACACGGCCAGTTAGAAAGGTCTAATACATGGAGGTTATTGTTTCAAAAGTTTATCAACTTTCATTTCCTTGCCTAATTGCTCACAGAATAAAGTGCCTTTGTTCTTAGGTAGCTACAGTGTGCCTTCAAGTTTTTTCTCTGTCTTAAAATGATGTCTTTGTTTATTCAATTGTGCATTCAATCCATGCGATACCTTTCTCCAAGGATAATTTGTGAAAAGAAATATTTTACGCTTAATTCTTTAGTTATTTTAAGACTGTTTCCTGAAGTGTTCATTTCATTACGTGACGCATTTTTAATTTCAGTCTCTCTCATGCATTTTCCTAACTTTGAGTTATAGGGAAGGGAATTCACTTCTGTCTCCTTTTCATTTCTTGACAATATCGGGTATACCCTGGAAATTACCTGTGGAGTTCACCTTGTAGAGGAAGAAAGCAACCTTCGAGATGAGGGGCCTCTAATGGACTCAGATGCTGCCTCCCCCTGGTCGCTATGAATCTGCTAACATTACCACCAGGGGACAGGGTCTGTGACACGGTCATGCTCCTTTACCACATGTCCCCCATGGGATTTCTTTCTCGGGACATGAAAAGATCGCTGGTCACCGTCCACTCCCATGTGGCCTCCTCATCCGCTCTTCCCCACCCCCGAACTTTCACAGCCATCTCTTGGTTACTTTGTTCATGAGATGACCCATTCTGCATTTAGAAATAATGATGTCCTTCTAAACATGCCTTTGCGCGTGTTCTCCGTAATCTTATGCCATCACATTCTTCATGACCAGGAACTGACCTTGCTTTGGGTCATAAAAGATACCAGTGACTAAACTTTCATAGATATGGACACTAGATCTCTTCTGCAGTCGGTAAATTGAAAGGCCAGCTGCATATTGAGTATCTCTAAAATACTTTTCGTTTGACTTTGATCTCTAAAATAGCAGTTAAAGACCAAGAGTCAGACTGAATGAGTTTGAATCTTGGCTCTGCCAATCTACTAACTATTTAAACGTAGGCAAGTTGTGTTGTGGTTGTTTTTTAACCTCTCGTGCTTCAGCTTCTACATCATTCAAGTAGGAAGATATATTACTTCTTTTTTTAATGTTTATTTTTGAGCGAGAGAGAGAGGGAGAGAGGGAGCGCAGAGGACGGGCAGAGAAAGAGGGAGGCAGAGAATCCCAAGTAGGCTCTGCACTGTCAGCCCAGAGCCCGACGCAGGGCTCGAATCCACGAACCACGAGATCGTGACCTGAGCCGAAGTCGAGAGTTGGACACCTAACTGACCGAGCTCCCCAGGCGCCCCCAGATAATATTACTTCCACCGAGTTACTGTGAAAATTAAGTAAGTTAATTCCTCTTGTCTTGAACAGAATGCTTAATAAATATCAGCCATTTTTGTGATGTATGTATTGCCTTGCCCACGATAACCTATCCTTTCCATGTACGAATCATAACAGCAACGATAACGATAGCTGTTAACATTTACTGAGCAATCACCATGTGGAAGAAACGAGGCCCACCGTTGCCCGTGTCTTAGCTACTTCCCACGAAAAGTTCTGTGAGGTGGGTCATGTTGTCCCATTTTACCCACAAGGAAAGTTAATGGTGGAATAACGTACCCAGGGACGTGCAGCTTGCAGGCGGTGTTAGTTCACGTTCCTGTTTCTTCTCCCATATCTGTCTTTCTGGGCGTCTCTCTGTCACACGTACACATTGGTTTGGTCAACTAGTCATTAAGCACTTGTGACCCACTTACCGTGTGCAGGGTTCAGTGCGCCCTGCGGGAGGGGAGGCGGGACAAGCGAGGGATGGTCCCGGCTATCGGGGATTTCACGTGGCATCGCAGGAGATAAGTCCTGTCCCTGCAACTACAACAGACAGTATGACAGAAATGCTCCAAGGAGAGACTGTGAGCCTCGAGGATGCCGAGGAAGCGATTCCTTCCAACCCGGGGGATTGGAAAGTAGACATAGAAACATAGAAAAGACTGGAACTGGGAGCGAAGGGGGAGAAGAACGTTGCAGAGAGGAGCAGCAACCAAAACAAGTCACACGGGTGTTAAATTGGATGGAACATTGCAGGACAGGACAGCTGAGCGTGGCGGACGGTGCGGGGCCGTAGGGCCGGGAAGGGAGGTTTGAGATGCGCCTCACGCTTTTGCGTGCGTCACAGTGAAGCACATCCTGCGCGTTTGGGAACCTCCACAGGCTTTTCCAAATATTTGTTCCAAGCAAAGATGTGCAAGGCTAGGAGAAAGTGAAAACAGAAGGTTGTTCTGAATCTATGTTAGGCCCTTGACTGATATTGCGAGATTGGCCGGCTTTAGACCAGACTCCCTTAGCCACTTTTCTGATCTTGTCTAATATCTCTTTTATCCCTTGGGCATTAGCTACACCATAGGAGTGAACCAACTGGAGCTTTGCTGGCTCTGGGCAGGAGCTGACCAACCCCTTGTCAACCACGGGCTGTTCAGAACCAAATTAAGATCCAGATTTGTGAAGCTCGCGTGCCTGGGGCCACCCCTGATGCCTGGTCCACAGAATGTCAGATGACAAAAGCAAAGCATTTCCCCAGAATGGAATTCACTAAGCCATCAGGACACCATCAGTATATTCTAGAAAAACCTGATAGGAAAAAAAAAAAAAAAAAGAATGGAAATTTTTATCTCATGCCACCTGAAGATCTACCTCACAGTAATTTTCAAGTCTACTAAAAACTGAAATCTGAAAATGCCTTTGATCTCATTATCTCCTCTGTAATTACGCTATATTTAAGCCTTGCCTCTACTTCTTTGATGCTGAAGTGTTCATCAGCTGTTGGTTACTCGTTAATTCTCAATGATCCATTAACTACCAATAGGATTCCCAAAAACATTAGTCAAAAACAATAGACTAAGACAAAATAAATGCCATTCCTGGGATCCTTCACTTATCTAGTATACGGGGGAATGACACCCGCCCTAACCTTTGCACGAAAGATTTAGAGGTGGCATTTTTGATGCTCGTTGGAGCAGTAGTTCGTCTGTGTCTGCCAATGAGCAGAGTGTGAAAAAAAATCTCATTTTCACATTACCAAGAAAGCACATCTTTTTTTTTGTCTGGCCCTGGTTTGATGAAAAGGGCTCTCGGAGGCCGTACGGTAAAACCGGGGCTCTGGGGGGGCGCCTGGGCGGCTCAGTCGGTTCAGCGTCCCACTCCTGATTTCGGCTCAGGTCATGATCTCACGGTTGCGAGATCAAGCCCCGCTCTAACTGCGTGGAGGCTACTTGGGATTCTCTCTCTCCCTCTCTCTGCCCCTCCCCGCCTCGTGCACACGGGCGCGCGCTCTCTCAAAATAAACAAACGTTTAAAAATCGTTTTAAAAAATGGGGTTATGCATTGCTGCTTTAGTCGCCCAGCTTTCGAGGCTCAAAAGATCCGACCAAAGAGGACACATCGTTTTCATTGCTCCTCATTATATCTGATGAGAGGACATCATTTCTCTCCTCTTCCCCCCAGGTGGCCGTTGAGGACCGCATCAGGCAGCTGCACGAAGCCCACCGGGACTTTGGCCCCGCGTCCCAGCACTTCCTTTCCAGTAAGTCGCTGTCACCTTTCATCATGTAATGTCTTCCTTGCATCTTGGTAGCAAAGAATGAAGAGTTGAATTACCATCGTCTCTGCCAAGCGCCCTGGAGGCATAAATCATCCTGAAATACACCTCGGTGGGAAAATTCAGAGGGTTAGGAGAGGAGGACCGATTAGATCATTTTGCCCAGGCTTCAGCTAACGCATAATTGTTTCCTGCAATGTGTGCTCAAGTGCTAACTTCGGTAATATTTTTGAGTCTTTGGTTCTGCGTATAGCAATTCACTTCATAAGCTGGTAATTACGATGCTATATAATTATGATAGGATAATTCAATATGTGTTACTAGGAATCTCTAATTCTTTAGCTCTACATAATTCATTAAATACTTCCTGCCTCATTTATCCTTGACCGCTCTTCACTCTTCTCATTTTAGTTTTCCTATTTTGTATCAATTGTGTGTGTATCATTAATCATACCATTCATATGTATTGTTGGTAAATATTGTACGTTTTACAACATACTAAGAGGAACGGCCTTAGTTAACTGAGGGTTTAATACTGGAACATCCTATTAATATAACTTTACATATTACGTTGCCAACCTCCTGTTTTCCTCTGATTCATGTTATTAATTTCTCCCACTCTTTCTTTGATTACAAAAATGTGTGTTTTGAGGGGTTTTTTTTTTCTCTTTCAAAACCCGTATTTCTACCACATGGAGTTAAGATCTGTTAACACTTTGACATATTTCTTGTTCATACATGAGGATGTATAAGGGCTTAATCATCACTTTAAGGCAATTGCTTTCTGCCTGGCAGTGTTACGAATATGAACTAATTTAATCCTCGTGCCACCCCATACGGTAGATGCCATGATTCCACCCATTTTAAAGATGGGGAAGTTGAGGCACACAGTCCCACAGAGACTGACAGAGCCAGGATTCAAAAGCCAGTGGGCTCCAGAGTCTGGTGAATCACCATACTGGACTGTCATTTACTTAATTTATGTATTTTATAGACAGGAAGTAATTCTGTGTGACCTCCCTTCATCTTCTGTTGCCTTCTTTTATTGCCACGTTCTGGTCCTTTCCTTTCCTTTCCGTTTCATTTTCCATAGGTTCGGAAAAAGATCTTTGCTCACGTTTTCAAGTATGTGAGCGGATGCTTCCGTGTGTCTCTCGCCTTGGTGACTGCCATTCTCTTCGATGTCATTGAGATTAAATGCAGTAACATATTTGTAGATGACTCATAAGCCATAAACGAAAATATTACTATTATGAATATTCATTACTCCTCAAACACCATGTGCATTGATTCCCCCTGTCTTCTCTCTCTGCCTGCCCCACCCAAATTCCCATGTCTTCCCCATTAAAACCTCTTCTCAGAAAATGATATGTTATTTAACCCAGGTGATAGGTAGAGTTTAATGTGTACTTCTCCCGGGTTATTTGCATTTTAATAGGGTGAAAAGCCATTAGCCTGAGGAATGAGTCTCTGTTGGTAGAACGCCATCCATAATCTCTGAGCTGTGAGGGGAGAACTGGGAGGGGCCAGGTGGAACATTCCAGCACCTTTTAAACAATATCACACCAGTGCCCACGTCCACAAAGGTCGGGCTGGTGGCCACAGATGCTCATAAAGACACCCATTTCCCTGCCTCAGTGGAGCCAGCCCCGCAAGCCACCAATTTCTTACTCATGTGGAATGTCAGTATATGCTTAGAAGCTCTGCCTAGGGATAGCAAACATTAGCACTTCAGTTTAAGGGATATTTGAGAAATAGGACAGGGGGACTAAAGACTCAATGAGGACTGTTTCTTTGTGTCGTCCTCTTTCATTTTTATTTTATTTTATTTTTTGAACCCCTGACCCTGAGATCAAGACCTGAGGTGAGATCAAGAGTTGGACACTTAATGGACCGAGCCACCCAGGCGCGCCCCTGTCCATTTTTTTTTTTTAAGTTATAGAGATAATATATGCCCCCTCTAGGAAATTTTGGAAAGCAGAGAGTACAAACAGGAAAAAAAAATTACCCTTCATCTCACCCCTTGGAGATAACCACTATAAAAAGTGTGCTTTCTATACTTTAGATACTTTTCTTTTTTTTTCTTTTTTTTTTCACATTTATTTATTTTTGAGACAGAGAGAGAGCATGAACAGGGGAGGGTCAGAGAAAGAGGGAGACACTGAATCTGAAACAGGCTCCAGGCTCTGAGCTGTCAGCACAGAGCCCGACGCGGGGCTCGAACCCACGGATCGCGAGATCATGACCTGAGCCGAAGTCAGACGCTTAACCGACTGAGCCACCCAGGCGCCCCGTGGATACTTTTCTTTTTAAACCAAACAGGGATAAAAACACATGAACATTTTGTGACCTGCTTTAATATATATAGATATATATATTATATACTATATATATAAAGTATGATATATGTATATATGTATATATATAGTATTATATATAGTATATAGTATTTTATATATGTATATATATACATATATACTATAATAAAAATATTTATGTGTGCTTAAATATTCCTCTACAGAATAATTTTTTAAATGGCTGGGCAGTATTCTCTTGTCTGGCTCTACCAGATTTACCAAGACAATTCTTAATTACTCATCAGGAAAGTTATTTCAGATTTTTCACTCTGCTCTCCAACACTGTGAGTAACATCCTTTATACACCTTTGGAAATATCTCCTATTCTTTCTACAAGATAAATTCCTAAAAACAGAACTGCTCTGTAAAAGGCTGTTTACATTTGTAAGGCTTTTGATATGGGCTGCCACACTGACCTCTAGAAATCTGCTCGAGAAATTGGGTGCCCGTCAAAACCGTATTTGAGGCAGGGCCCTCACCCAAGTCACTTATTGGCCGTTAAATTGTGTTCGCTGAAAGCACAACCATTTTTCCCCTAAAACAAATAAAAATATGTTTGGAAAAAAATACCACTAAGGTCATAGTAAATGAATTTGACTTGATAGATGTCTAACTGGCTTCCAAGTTACTAGGAATAATAATAATACTAAGTCTTTGAGACTTAGAAATTACAAAGAGAAATGAAGATGAGCCACTAATTGTGCTCGCTGTCTCTCTCTTATTCTCCCTGTCCATTTCTCTCCTCCCTTCATCTGTCTCTCTCTCTCTCTCTCTCTCTCACACACACACACACACACACACACACACACACACGCATTCCCCTTTGAAAATTACATTACCAGCGGTCTTTTTTTTTATCAGTAGAGAGAGGCAGGCTTTTACTAAAGAAAAGTATTCAGTGTTTCTTCTTGGTATCCCAATCTCTACTTGTTAAAGAAGTTGTTTCTTTTATCTTAGATCTGAGAGAAATGAGAAGAGAAAAACATTGTAAAATCTGACCCTTATCCATTGCTAGACACTAGCTTGCCTTTAATTCCAGCTTTAATATTCTACCACTTTTTTTAAAAAAGATCTTAGGTAATCTGTACACCTGATGTGGGGCTCGAACTCATGACCCCAAGATCACGAGTTGCATGTTCCACCAACTGAGCCAGCCAGGAGCCCCACTATTCTACCACTTTTAATTGACTTTGGCAACTTAAACCAAGAAAAGGGAGAAATTCTACTACCTTGATTTTTAAAAATCATATAAATTTATACATGTAATTTATTATATTTGTATATAATTTTTAATCACACTGTTGGCATTTATACATATATTAGCGTCCACGTCTTCATATGTCAATATCAAGAAAGTACTCTAGTATTTATTGACATAGTACTCTGAAAATTGTCCACCCTTTATCTTCAAGAATTTAAAACCTTAAAAAAAAAAAAAAAAAAGAACTTACGCTCTTTTTTTGTGTCCATTTTCTCAGTTCTCTGAGCTTCTATTCTAAATTTCACATAACCAAGGATAACTATATATTTGAATAAAGGTAGACATTTTTCTGTAACAGTGAAAAGAACTTAGAGTTGCCTTACGATTTTACCAGTTCTACGAAATCTTACCATTTGCGACCACACGGAGCTAGAGAGTAGTATGCTAAGAGAAATAAGTCAGTCGGAGAAAGACACATACCATATGATTTCACCCAGATGTGGAGTTTAAGAAACAAAACAAACAAGCGAAGGGGAAAAAAGAGAGAGAAACAAATCAAGAAACAGACTCTTAACTATAGAGAACAAACATGGTTACCAGAGGGGAGGTGCGGGGGATGGGGGGGTGCGGAGAAGGGGGCGCTGGGTTACATAGGTGATGAGGGTTAAGGAGGGCACTTGGGATGAGGAGAGATGTATGGAAGTGCTAAATCCCTATATTGTACACCTGAAACTAATATTAAGCTGTATGTTAACTAACTGGGATTTTAAAACTTAAACAAAATATTTTACCAGTCGTAGAATTCCCCAGAGTAGGATTTTCCAAGCCACGTTCCTCAGAACGTTAGTGTTCTGTACGATGTTAGTAACTCTTCCTTGAAAAAATAGTTTTGTGGTCAATAAGATTGGAAAAACTAGCTTATAAAGATGCGAAAGTTTCTTTTTTGTTGCAGCCTTTCATATACATCGAAACGCTAAGAGGAGGGAAAAGTCAGTAGCTCTTCTGCCTACTTACGTGACTACGGAAGCCTTTTTTCAGGCATACCAATTAATTTCTCACTAAACATGTCATGGAACATAGTATAGGAATCTTTGCCCTAAAGTGGTATTCGCCAAATGGTTTAATAATGAGAACTTTCTGCTGAAGGTAGTAAGAACACGGTCCAATTAAAAAGAAAATGAGTTATCTATAAGGCAAAAGGGTCAACTTTCTCTTTCCTGAGGTTTCTGGCTCCCGCCCCCACCCCAGGAGTCCCATATGCTGTAGAATTTCCTAACTGGAGAGAGGCTAAGGGAGACTCTATCTGAGTTGTTTTCTTAGTACTCATTAATGAATGCTGAAATCAGTTTAATGACTTGCAACCAACAATTTTTTAATGGAATGGAAGAGATTGGAAAATATCAGAGTACATTGCCCAAGCAAGGTTA